TTACATGTGCTTAAGTATGACAACCCTTATAAATAGTCCAAAAAACTCGAGATTTTGGTTTAAGTCTCAAGAGTTTGGATATATCTCACAAATCACGTTTGGAAACAAGAATAGATGTTACCCAGTATAAGTTACGAATTTTTATAACAACAACTATAAGGATTTGCTTCAAGATTTACTTAAACAAGTTGTGGGACAAAATATTTTGAAAGTGATTGAATTATGGAAATAATAATATTTTGGATCACTTTTGGCCAAACATAAATACAATGGTTATCTTGGAATATTATGTCATACTCATGACTTTTTACCAGATTAACAAACTATTTGTGATTATTTATAAATATTTAATATAAATAATTTTATCAAGAAAAATATACGAAAACAGAGTTTTCATGACAAAAATATTTGCTTGTCATAAACGGCTGTCGTAAAACCTTCAGGAACATAAGTAATGTTCTATATGTCGTAAAACAGAAAATGCGTGTCATAACCCGTAGTTATAAATTTACACAAATTATAACTTGACACTTCTTGACTAATATGGGCCTGAGCCGACAATTTATAGAAAGGTAAAACCATTTTTGCCAATTCCGATAATGTTGGGTCATTTTGATAAACGTTCAAAATGGCTTATTTTTCAATAAACGAAAACGGAACGAACACGAGCACCCAGTTAACAAGCACAATAAACGATATGGAACGAAAACGATATTTTTATTCAATGAGTACGAATTTCATTATTTATCTAACAAATAATGGATCTCAAACGATTTCTCAAAAGGTTGTTAATATCTCGTCAGACAAATCTCAAAAGTACCTAAATATAAAAATAGTAGTGTACGTCTTAAGTCTTGTAAGGAGTTTATAGCCAGGTCTCCTGGAGGGAGAGCAGGAATTGTGTATAGATCTATACGGGGTTGACACCCGCACCTTCGCTGTTCGCTACAGCTAGACCGGCCAGTCTAGGGTGACAAATGTCTTTAACAAAACAAGGGCGCCTGAGAAACGCTAAAACAGGTCTCGGTCATATTAGTATGGTTATAACGACTCACTAGAATATGTTATGTTATCTAGATATTTATGCAAGAAAAACCTCATAAATAAATTTTGGCACGTTGTGTTGACTGTCCTACGCATGGTAGTGATGGTCCGCATTTGTTGTGTTGACTGCCCTTTTTCATTGCGTAGAATGTCCACAATCGCCATGTTGATTTCTTTCACCTAACAAGTATTAGAGTTTAAATACTGCTATTTTACCAATAAGAAAACATAGTATTTTCTGGAGAAAACGTTTGTAAATGATTTTGAAAACGATAAACTAACACACACATATGCAAGTATACACAGTTGGAAACATAACTTACGAATATTTTATAGCAGAAAATATAGGATTTTCTGGAGAAAACGATTTTATACGATTTCGATTACGATAAACTAGAACGCACACTCAATTTTACTCGATAAGAAAAACAAGATTTACAACTATATTCTCTTTTTGAAGATAGGGGATTTTCTGTAAACGGTTGACTATTACTACACAAAAGAACTATTCTCGAACACAGCTCGCCTTTACAAATTACACTACTTTTCATAATCACTCCTTATAAGGATGAACAAAAGTAACGGCATGCACACATATATCCATGATTTTCAAAGCAAGGCTTCAAACGATTTCATAGAAAATATCGGATTTTCTGAAAGTATAATGAAACGATTCTAAACAAGTGTAAAACTATCTTATACAAAAAATGCTTTGAACTCACCACTTTTTAGTTGACGCTTTTCAAAACGACTTTTCTCAGGGATCTAGTAAGCAGGTAACAAGGGCCGCAGATGCAGGACTATTTAGCTGTAGTTTAGAATTTTTCTGCTTACGTCTCTTTTGTGTAACTCGAAGGACAAATACAATATGTAAACAATGTAAGTTTGTTATCTCAATGTATGATGGTTGGATGCTCTGTTTCATTTATATTCAATTGTTATGATTACTGCACAATGAAGTCCCCCTCCGGACGTTTCCGCCGTCTGGTCAGGGGGTGTGACAACTATATATATATAGAATATAATTATATATATATATATTATATATATATATATAGATATATATATATAACGAGTGTTCTCGGAGGCTTTACGGGGGATTCGAGGGTTGAGTTACGAGATTAGTTGAGGTATCTTTTATCTTGTTATTACATAATTACATTATTGTGATCTTTCATAGAGGATTGATAAACTTGAGTATATGTTACGAGATTTTGTGAGATGGTGCTATTACGAACCTAATGATTTGTTAAATGTTAATATGGTCATTTTGGGATATATATATCTATATATAGATATATTATATATATATATATATATATATATTATATATATATATATATATATATATCTATATAATAGGTTGGTTCATGTGAGACGGCCTAATTTTGTGAGACCGTGTGAGACGCAATCCTAGTCACTCATTTGATAGATAAAAAAAACATTTTTTAAAATGCAAAATAATGAAAATTTCGAAAAAAAAATTTCAAATATTATTTTCGAAATTTATATTTTCCAAAAAAAATAAACAAAATACCAAAAATAAATAAAAAATAAATAAATAATACCTTTTTTTACATATTTTAGTAGAATATTAGAATATTTTACATATCTGACAAATCTAATAGAATATTCTAACATTCTAAAAATTACATTAGAATATTTACAGTTTAATATTCTACTAGAATATTTCACGTATTTTTCAAAAAAAAATGGTAATTTTTTTATTTTTTTATAATTTTTTTAGATAATTAAATGACGAAAATAATAATTAAAAAAAGAATTTTCGGATTTTTCCTTTTATTTTGCATTTTAAAATTATTTTTAGATTTGGTCTCACGTCTCACAAACTTAGCATGGTCTCAAATGAACCTAACCTATATATATTATATATATATATATATATATATAATATATATATATATATATATATTATATATATATAATCCCACCGCTTAGACTAAGGAAATAAATTCAACATGTACCTCTTAAATTTAATAAATAAATGATTTAATAATAATATAAACACTGTCAAATATTTTATTTACACCATATATCCGTAGCATCCTATTTTAATTAATTCCAAGTTAATTATCAAATTATAAGCAATAATTAACTTATGAAAACACAAAATTTATAACATCAAATCCATGAAAGTTAGAACTTGTTGAATATCAGGTCGATTCACACAAGACTAATCAACCAACATCGATTAAAGAACCAAGACCAATTGTAACCAGTTTAAGACAAATCTAAGGCCCGAACATATCCAGTTTTAACCAACACTCATAGTGCAAAATCATCATTTGTGTCTCATGCATTGTGTTCGTTTTCAGAGTTTTTATTTTGACGAGAAGATTATATTTTTATGTCTATCAAATAAAGTTAGCTAGCGAAATGTAGGTATGTTTGAAATGTAGGTATGCTTAAATAACAATACTTTTAAGAGTTATATAGGTTCCTTTGTTGCTTTTACAGTTATGTAACTAAATATGTTTGAAATGTATTGTTATCCTTAGTTATTATCCGTTTATTTTATCATTAAATCCGTACTTTATATTTACTTTTTTACAAAATTAGAATGATTCCTGAATCCGAGACCATAAATAACATTTAAGATGAAGCAGGCCGAATGTACTTTTTTTCTAACTTCAAATTTCATTGCAAACTTAATTGAGCTAGTGACTTTGCACTCGCACCATTCAAAACCTTGTCTATAGCCATTTACTGTTGTCCAACAGCCCAACTTTTGAAGATTATATATTAAAATCAATATTTAATGATATTTTAAATATTTTAAAAATATTACGGATCATCTGCCAAGGACTGGCTACAAAGTTGATTACAGGATAGAATGTTTAAAGTTTGGGAAAAAAAAATAGTAAATATGTTTTTTTTTCTTATGTAAATTGGACATAACTCTTTCAAAAGAAAATAATACCATTTAATAATTTAATAAAACATAGAATTATTATGAGATGTTCATCTAAATATCATTTGCATATTACCTTCTTTGTCATATTTAAAATTTTAAAGTTTTGTTATATTTGACTAATTAATCTATTTTAATAAATACATAAAACAAAATTAGGCATCTTTTATCATCTTTTATTTATAAAAATGATATATATGATTAATATCAAACATAACGTTATTTAAGGGTGTTTGAGATTGCTTATTGAAAACAACTTATGTTTATTTATAAAAGTATTTATTAGTTTTTCGGTGTCAAAATGAAGTTTTAAAATTAATGTTTGAATTAGTTTATCTAGTATTAAAACGTAATAAGTTTATAAGCTATTTTTAGTGTTTGACAATTTCTACTTATAGATGTAAAATGACCGATAAGGAGCGAATATATAATTATAGACATATATTTAATAGAGTTAATATGATAAATTGATTTAAATGAATCATAAACTATTTAAATAAGTTAGAACTCACTAATTTATCAAAAACTCATTATTTAAGTAAATAAACATTTTTAATTTTAAACAAATAAGTTAATTAGCATATTAAGTAAGTAATCCCAAACACCCTTTTAAAATGACAAATTAGATTAAAGTCCTCTACTTGAAAATAAATAAAACTGGATATATAATTGTAAAAAACAATATTTGAAAATAAACTTTTTACATCGTAGATTATATTTGAACATAGATTTTTTCAAATAAATTTAATGAAAATCTTAAATGGTAAAAAATGACAATCTATACAAATCTTATGGGTGATTGGAAAAATATAATTATATATAGAAAAAACATCATAAATGGTCCCTGTGGTTTCACAAAATCTGAAGTTTAGTCCCCGTGGTTTAAAAACACCATAGATGGTCTCTGTGCTTTCAAAACTTTTGACGATTGGTCCTTATTGCTAACTCCGTTAAATTTGTCCGTTAACTGAAGGGCATTTTCATCATTTCACTACCGTTATGATGTTTTCACTTATTATTTTTTTTAATGAAATAATATGCAAATCGTAAAGATCCCCAAATCCGCCATCGGCGCCTTGAACTTCGTCGTCTCATTCAATTCCTCAAACGTCACCACCAAATTCCCAAGCCTCACCACAAATTCAATCAATAGTGAAGTAAACGTCACCAAAGAAAGAACGCTTGCACTCTTATACGTATCCCCTTCATCTTGTATCACCATTCTTTCCGGTTTAAACGAGAATTTCCAAGTCAACGATTTCTGAAAACCATTTGTACCCGCGAATGGCAGATTTGTAGCTCCAGGACTCCTCGATGTTCCCAAATCGAGTCGAGCTTCGCTGAACGAATGGTACCCGTGGTATTTGTATGGGTCGTCATCGTCGGTTTTTGAGATGTCTTGTATGTCTTGAAATTCGATTGGGGGTTTTCCGATTTCCCAACTGTTTGCATCGACGAGAAGGTAGGATTTTCGATCGACTTTTGTTTGTAGGTATTTCGCATCTGTTTCTGGTTTTCCAAATGTGATCGAGAAATCGAAGCTATGGGATGTGGTTGAAGAGCAACCAAAGCTCTTGCGCTTCCTTCAATGGCGATTTAAACGAAGAGACTGAGATTCTCTACCTCCATTTCAACTTCTAGGTATTTACTCAGCTTAACTTCATTTTTCTCAATTTGATTTCTGTGTTATTTTGTGGATTTTGACTATTCGAGCTAACTTCAAGCACGAACAGTGATTGATCGGTAACTATCTATGGTTTTTTTATTGTTACTGTTGTTTGATTTGAAGCCACTTACTTTGATTTTCGGGAAGAAGGGTTTATTGCATTTGCATTCGATCAATTCTGGTTTGACCTGGAAGGCTGGAATGAGATTATGTGTTGACTAGATCATTGAATCTAATTTTGTTTGTCATAAGCAGTTTTAAAGTTCATTTATTTCTTGATTTTGTTATAATGTATAGCTTAAAGTAGCGTTTGTAAAAGGGTTAATGATGGATTTAAAATTGCATACACAGCTTCACCCTAATGAAGTTGATGATAAGATGATGAAGTTGAACATGGTAGAGAGATGTTTAAGTTTGTGTGTATGTGATTGAGTTTCGATCTAGAGAGAGACCATTTGTATATTATTTCATTTTTTTTCCTTTTTTTTAATAAGTGAAAACATCATAAATGGTCCCTGCGGTAGTGAAATAACGAAAATGCCCTTCAGTTAACGGACAAATTTAACGGAGTTAGCAATAAGGACCAATCGTCAAAAGTTTTGAAAACACAGAGACCATCTATGAGGTTTTTAAACCACAGGGACTAAACTTCAGATTTTAGGAAACCACATGGACCATTTATGATGTTTTTTCTTATATATAATTTTAAAAAGAATACCGTAAAAACTGTAAATGTGTAAATCGGCAAAAAGGTACAATCTGATGGGATTCGTGTCTTCCAATTTGGCATCCTGGACTCCGTCTATACTACACCCTCTTTATTATTTGTCTTCCAACTTTTCGTGCAATTTCGGACCTTGTTTGCAATGTATATTTTAGTATAATTTCTTTTTTTTATATTTATTTTATTTTATTTTATTTTACAATAATTTCACTTTCAAATTTTATGGAGAAATTGTCAGAAAAGTTTCAATATTTCATGAAAAGTTTCATTTACGTCTCAATTTTTTTTTTGAACAGAAAAGCCCGATTATTTGATTTTACACGATAATATGTCATTTCCTGTTAAAAGAAAAAAAATGATTTTTTTGTTAATTCGAGCCAAAATGAAATAATCATGACTTTTATGTTCAAATTTTTTTTAAGAATAAAATAGAATTTTTCCGAAAATATTGAAACTTTCCGGACAATTTCCCAAATTTTATGTGTATCAATTAAGTCTTGTTAGCTTAAGAATAGATTAGATTTGTCAATTAAAAAATATAAAATAAAATAAAAAAATAAAACTTTAACAACATTGTTATTATGACCACCTTAAACTGCTTAGAAATAGATTAGATTTGCCAATTTAAAAAAAAAAAAAAACTTAAACTTTAACAATATTTTTTATTATTTCTATAGCAGGTGACAGTGGCTGACATAAAAAAAATGTTAAATGATAGCGATTTTAGGAAGGAGAGAGTATATCCCTTCCGATTCACTTGTCACCTTAGTGTGAGATAAGGTTTTTTTTTTTCATTCTTTTTTATCGATTCCAATCCGCAACACATAAAATTCAATCACTTCCAACTCACACATTTCAAGAGAGAGGAACGGCTTATGTAATCCAATATTCTACTAATTTGTTGGTGGTACTGCACCTGTATGGAATGGTATATCCAACTGTACCACAAAGAGCTTCTTACATCTTTTCTCGACTTCATCCACCCTTAATATATAGCATTTTGATTTATAATTGCCAAATAGTCAAAATAAGGAAAATATAATGGTTTTGTAATTTACTTAAAAATATATGTTATATTTAAATACGTGTGTTAATTCGATATTTTTTATAGTAAGATGGATAAAGTACTTGATATTTTATTTATGAATAATTATGAATGAATTGGGAGACAGCATGACATTTTCGTAATCGGAGTCAGAAGAAAAAATAAATGAACGTACCTGTGACTCGTTGCATCCAACTATAATGTCCTTTTAGTTTTTATTTGTTTTATATTAAAGTACATATATTGTTATTTTAGAATGGAAAATATTAAATTCTACTATATATATTTTGGGATATTCAATTAAAATGGTAATATATATTTTGATTTGTATATTTATTTGGTCGTTAATGGTTTTTTTTTTTTTTTTTATTTGACCATTTAATTTGTATTTTTGTCCACGTTCTGTCATTATAACTGGTTATTTCAGGTTAAGCAGGAAATAATAACTTAATAAGGTAATATATTTTTCAATTTACACGCATTTAGTCATTAACGTTTTTGTACATATTTAGTCCTTATGACCAGTTTTTTCAGATTTTGCTCATGACATCTTACGTTAGACAATAATTAATGAAATGTTTTCATACCTGGCTTGTTCTTCACTTTTATTAGTAACTTAATTCACAAATCGGTCAAATAATGTTGATGTCATAGTTTTTTTTAAGTAGAAAACGTATCTGTTTTTGGTTTCGTCTATCTCCATAGCAGACAACGATATTTTTTGTGACTATTTCCTCTTAACTCAGAATTTGCACTTCCAATACAAAATAATAATAATAATAATAATATAAAATAAGGAAAACGCTAAAAGAATTTGCACTTCCAAGACACAAAAAAAAAAAAAAAAAAAACTACTAGCAAAAAGTTTCATCTATCTCCATAGTAGACAACAGTATTCTTTGTGATTGCCTCCTCCCAGCTTGAATGTGCACTTCTACGACAAAATCTCGTTGTTTGCTATGGAGATAGATGAAACCGAAGATGAAGACATCTGTTGCTTGGAGAAAACTAGGGCACCAACATTATTTAACCGATTTGTGAATTAGGTTATTGATATAAGTGAATAACGAGTCACGTATGAGAATTCATCATTAATGATTGTCCCATGTAGTATGTCCTGAGAAAAAATTGAAGAAATCGATCATAAGGACTAAATGTGTACAAAAACATTAAGTACTAAATATGTACAAATTGAAAATTATATTACCCTATTAAGTCGTTTTTTTGGCTTAACATGTAGTAGCAGGTTATAAGGGTTGAATGTGGACAAAAAAACAAGTTAAATGGTCAAATGTTGAAAAAAAAAAAACTCAGCCACTATATATGTACAAATCAAAAAATATATTACCCTTTTAAGTCATTATCCCTATCTATTTTCTAAAAGTTAAAATGATATGTAATAAAAGTACCGAACCGTGTGATGTTTAAGTTTTATGGAATTAATGGATTAAGTTTTATGAAATTAATGGAGTAGATTTTATATCAAGTTATACAATAAAATGACAATATTAACAGGTAACATGAACATATATAACATTTTTTTTCTGGATCCCAAAAAACAACTACAAACTTGTTGATTCTTGATTAAATGAATTGCAAAGATGAAGAACGAAATGTTCATTTAATTGGTTACCTAAGCTATTACAAATTCAATACATTCAAAGTTTTCAACTTATACATTGGTAAATGTCGAAGACGCTTATGCCATAGAGAAACAGATGTATCAGTTGACATTGAATTACAAAGAGAATTAGAAAAAAAATGACAAAGGAATCCAAAGGAGCCTAGTAACAGACATAGTAAGACTCTAATTTGCTTCTTGTGTAGAATGAACAAAATGCAAGCCATCATGATGCCTACCAATAACCAAAAGCCTCTTCAGAGAAAGGCCCTGTAACAAGAAACTATGATGTTTTGAGAAAAGAATGAAGGATTTGAGATCTCTGTAAATTTTATTAATGGAAAGAAGATTGTACCGAAACAGAGGCACATATAGAACATTATGTATAACCACATCTCTGGTTATATGAGCATGACTAATTTCAATCTTTTCACCATTAGGAAGAGTAATATAATGCGAAATAGTAAGTTTACGGATGTTGATAATAGGGATCTATCAAAACACATATGATCACTTGCACCGGAATTGATGATCCATGTAGAAATTTCATTTGTGATGTAATGACATTTTGTTGGATCAAAAAGAGTGTGAGGATTACCAGAAAAATTGACACTATAATGACTTTGTCCCTGAATATGTTCGCGAGAAGTTTGATTAATAGTGTTGGATCCTGAATTAGCTCCGTTAGACTTGAAGCAGTTGAGCATGGAAATAAATTGTTGATACTGATCGTTTGTAAATTCAGGGAGAACTCCTACTTTTGATGTAGAATAATCTTTAGTAGACTGCTGAAAATTGATCACATTTGCAACAACACTCTTTGTCTTAGTGAATTTGAAATCCTTTGGGAATCCAACTAATTGATCGCATTTATTCACCGTGTGACTTTTTTCTTGTAGTGAGTACACACACCATATGCTTATTTTTGTCATAACTTGGTTTGGATTGAAAATTTCCCGTTCTTACAATCATCGAAGTAGAATCAGTCATGAAAACAAATGAAGATTGAACTTCTCCCTGTTGTTCATCTTGAACTAATAGAGCATAAGCTTGAGAAACATTTGGAATAAGTTTCATCGTCAAAATACTACCTCTGATTGAATAATAATCACTATTAAGTCCCATAAGGAACTTAATGAGTTTTTGATTGTGTTCGAATTCACGAAGCTTTCATGCAACACAATAAGTACATGAAAGAAATGAAGATAAAGCACTGAATTCATCTTAATTTTTCTTAAGCTTTGTGAAGTAAGAAGCGAGATCATTATTACCTTGAGATAAATCTTATACCTCCTTTTGGAGTTAATAGAGTTCCGCTTCATTAGATTGACCAAAACGCTTGTGACAATTGCAAAAATTGTTATCAATCGTTGATCGCAAGCATGACGAACATCAAATATTATAGACTAAATATGTAATATTTTTCAATCTATGATGAAAATACAAGATTACATATTCCAGTATATAAGAAAAATAAGTCAAATTGCCCGGAAACTAAAATTAAGGCGTGCAAAAAGTTGTGTTATTATGTGTGTGTATGTATGTATATATATATATATATATATATATATATATATATATATTTATAATAATAACATATTTAGAAAGTACACATCGTAACAATCTCGGATATATAAAGAATGCAAAAATATGACTTTGTATGAAGAAATTATGTTGTTTCTAAGTTTTAAAATCAACCACGCACATAAATATGTGTCTTAAAAAATAGACGAAAATCGGTTGAGTTTTAACCAAAACAGTGTAAAGGAGAATCGTAGAACTCGTCGATAGAAAACCAATGAGACAAAAAATGCTAGAAACGGAGTCCCTTTGAGAAAGTTATGACTTTTGTAGAATCATTTAGGGTGCGCCCCTTATACAACTATTGTATAAGGGCTAAAAAATAAAGTACGAATTGGCTAAAACAATATAAAGGAAGGTTGATTTCTCGTCGATACGGTCGCGTGGATATAAAGAATGTCGAAAATGTAGCTTGTATGCAAAATTATGAATTTTTGGAGATTCGAAGTTTTACCCGATATAGGCAACATGGCACGCGTAGAGCGCACCACGTGGCCTATTGACACGCATATTCTCCAAGATTTTGGCAACACGGACCAATGAGGACTCGACACGTGGCATCATACCCCCCCCCCCCCATATGAAGCCAACACAAGCAGGCATGCCTCTGACATAAGCATGACACCCCCCCACACTCACACACACACAATTTGGCTATAAATAGCATGTACGAGCCCCTCATTTTCACACATAAATTTCACTCCCTTTCCCTCTTGTTTTTCTGGAATAACCCCTCCCTCTCCCCAAGCAACCTCGAGCTTCCCGACGCCTCCGAACGCAACCCGACCTAGTTGAAAACACGCTACAAGGGTGAGTTCA